TGACCAGCTCTTGATGCTCTTGACTGCTTAACCACCCACTGCATTACACCAGCCTCTGTTTTAATCCTGTTTTATAGAATCATCTAGGTTGGAAGAGACCTTCAAGATAATCAAATCCAACTGTTAACCTAACATTGCCAAATCCACCATTAAATCACGTATATAAGGACCGCGGGTCCTGAAGGAGCTAGCGAATGAAGTTGCTAAGCCACTGGCCATCGTATTTCAGAAATCATGGCAGTCAGGTGAAGTTCCTGATGACTGGAAAAAGGGAAATAAAACCCCCATTTTCAAGAAGGCAAAAATGGATGACCTGGGGAATTCAGACCAGTCAGTCTCACCTCTGTGCTTGGCAAAATCTTGGAGCAGATTCTCCTGGAAGGCATGCTGAGGCACATGAAAAGCAACAAGGTGCTTGGTGACAGCCAGCATGGCTTCACTAAGGGGAAATCCTGCCTGACCAATTTGGTGGCCTTCTGTGATGGGGCTACAGAACTGATGGACGGGGTAGAGCAGCTGATGTCATCTACCTTGACTTGTGCAAAGCATTCGACATTGTCCCACATGACATCCTTGTCTCTAAATTGGGGAGACATCAATTTGATGGATGGACCACTCAGTGGATAAAGAACTGGCTGGATGGCCGCACGCAAAGAGTTGTGGTCAATGGCTCAATGTCCGGCTGGAGACCAGTAACGAGTGGCGTCCCTCAGGGATGGGTGTTGGCACCGGTCTTGTTTAACATCTTTGTTGGTGACATGTACAGTGGGATTGAGTGTGCCCTCAGCAAGTTTGCTGATGACACCAAGCTGTGTGGTTCGGTTGATACCCTGGAGGGAAGGAATGCCATCCAGAGGGACCTCAACACGCTTCTGAGGTGGGCTGATGCCAATCTCATGAAGTTTAACCATGACAAGTGCAAGGTCCTACACCTGGGTCAGAGCAATCCCAGGCACAGCTACAGATTGGGCAAAGAAGAGATTCAGAGCAGCCCTGCAGAGAAGGTCTTGGGGGTGTTGGTTGATGAGAAACTGAACATGAGCCGGCTTCAGTGTGCGCTTGCAGCCCAGAAAGCCAACCGTATCCTGGGCTGCATCAAAAGGAGCATGACCAGCAGGTTGAAGGAGGTGGTCCTGCCCCTCTACTCTGCTGTCGTGAGACCTCACCTGGAGTATTGTGTGCAGTTCTGGTGTCCTCAGCATAAAAAGGACATGGAACTGTTGGAACAAGTCCAGAGAAGGGCCACGAGGATGATCAGGGGACTGGAGCACCTCCCGTATGAACACGGCCTGAGAAAGTTGGGGCTGTTCAGCCTCGAGAAGAGAAGGTTGCATGGAGACCTCATAGCAGCCTTCCAGTATCTGAAGCGGTTCTATAGGGATGCTGGGGAGGGACTCTTCATTAGGGACTGTAGTGACAGGACAAGGGGTAATGGGTTAAAGCTTAAACAGGGGAAGTTTAGATTGGATATAAGGACGAAATCCGTTCCTGTTAGGATGGTGAGGCACTGGAATAGGTTGCCCAGGGAGGTTGTGAATGCTCCATCCCTGGCAGTGTTCAAGGCCAGGTTGGACAAAGCCTTGGGTGAGATGGTTTAGTGTGAGGTGTCCCTGCCCATGGCAGGGGGGTGGGGGGTTGGAACTTGATGATCTTAAGGTCCTTTCCAACCCTAATTATTCTATGATTCTATGACCACACCTATTTGTATTTTAAATACCTCCAGGGATGGTGACTCCACCACTTCCTTGGGCAGCCTGTTCCAATGATTGACAACTCTTTTGGTGAAGAAATTTTTCCTGCTATCCAGTCTAAACCTCCCCTGGTGCAACTTGAGGACATTTCTTTTTGTCCTGTCGCTTGTTATCTGGGAGAGGAGACTGAGGCCCACCTCACTACAACCTCCTTTCAGGTAGTTGTAGAGACTGATAAGGTCTTTCTTCTCTGACCTCCTGAACAGCCCCAGTTTCCTCAGCTGCTCCTCCTAAGACATTTGTGCGCCAGACCTTTCACCAGCTTCATTGCCTTTCTCTGCACCTGCTCCAGCGTCACAGTGTCTGTTTTGTAGTGAGAGGCCCAGAACTGAACACAGGATTGGAGGTGCGGCCTCTTCAGTGCTGAGCACTGGGGGATAATCACTGCCCTGGCCCTGCTGGCCAATTCCTGATACAGGCCAGGATGCCATTGGCCTTCTTGGCCACAAGATAGCTCATGTTCAGTGGCCGTCGACCAACGCTCCCAGGTCCTTTTCCTCTGAGCAGCTTTCCAGCCACTCTTCCCTAAGCCTGTAGCGTTGCATGGGGCTGTTGTGGCCCAAACGTAGGACCCTGCACTTTATCTTGTTGATCCTCATACCGTTGGCCACATCCCTTCGATCCAGCCTGTCCAGAGCCTCCCTATCCACCAGCAGATCGACACTCCCACCCCACTTGGTGTTGCCTGCAGACTGAGAGTGCACTTGATCCCCTCCTCCAGATCTCTGATAAAGATACTGAACAAGACTGGCTGCAGTACTGAGCCCTGGGGAGCACTTCTTGTTACTGGCCACTAGCAGGATTTAACTCCATTCACAACTCTTCAGGTCCATCCATCCAGCCAGTTTTTTACTCAGTGAATGGCACACCCACCCAAGCCATGAGCAGCCAATTTCTTCAGGAGGATGCTGTGGGAAATGGTATCAAGGGCTTTAATAAAGTCCAGGTAGACAACAACATCCACACGTTTAGTTTTATCTAGCTGCACCTTTTGATTTGATTGGATTATTTTCATCCGTGTTTCCTTATCTGGTGCAGCTTCATAACAAATTTAACATGATGCAGTGGTGATAAAGCTGTTCAGCAGCAGAAACTCATGCTGTTGCTTTCCTTATATAAACTTAATCAGTTCTTTATACATTGTAATGTGTCTTCTCTTAAAGATTATCTTCAGTAATGTGCCTTTATACTCTTACTTAGTTGAATATTTGCATAGGTGAAGTGTGCTTTCAAGTGCTGCTTTTTAGCCTGAAGTGAATGTAGTGCTGCTGTTTGTCTTTAAACATTATGCTCGGGCATTTCTCAGCTTGTACATCCTGTTCTCTATCCCAGGCTAGATGGCAGCTGCTTTTTACTCTTGTCTCCTGCTTGAAGCCTGCATGACACTTCTCCATAGATTCTGTGGTTCTATGATTCCATTACTTGATTGGCAAAACTATAATAATTATTTTCAGGCCTTTATAGGATTAATTTATCATAGGTTAGCTAATCCCTTAATTAATGAAGCTGATAGGCAGATTGAGAACTGTTATGTGAGGATGAAACTGTGATACAAACATCTATAGTGCTGATATCTCCCCAACCCCCAAATGAAATTTTGCTTACCTGGTTCTGTGTGGTGAGTAGCTGTCACCTGCTGTTCACCTGTGAGAACTATCAAGCTTGAATTTTCTTAAAATCTGAAGCATACAGAAGAACATAAACCCCAAACAAAAATTTCACTTTAGAAACTTGAAAGTAAACCTAAGATGTTCCATTATCAGAATTTCACACATTTGCAGTTAATTGAAGTCTTAGTAAAGAACATGGTGGTAGAGCTCATAGTTTAATATATGTAGTTACCTGATCATTTTTCTGACATCTTTATTTGGTTACAATGTGGTGTAATTGGAATAAACAGGGTCACTGTGTTCCTATAGCAACAGGATGCTACAGTTCAACAGACTGCTTCATTGCAGCAGATATATCCATAACTCTGCTAATAACCTGAGGATTTTGAAACAGTAAATTTAAAAATGAGGATTCTGTTTCATATTTCTGCAGGCAAAATTCAGTTTAAAATTTAAGCCTTATAAATATCTTTCCTGAAGCCCTCCACCACCTTCCAGTATAGGCATAGTTTCAGAGTTTGTAGAAATATTGAATATATATATTCTATGAATATTCCACCTATATAAGCTGTGGTACTAGTAGGATTTTCTATAAGAAATATGGGCTATTTAGACATGAGGTAAGGGGTCTTTTTCAGCTTTCAGTGCAAGCTGGTTTTTTTCTTTAAACAAGCAGGCCATGTAAATTGGTTATTTTGATCCAACATATTGACCTGCTCTGTAATAGCTTCATTTATTTTTAAATGGATAGTAGAGGTGATACAAGACAGTGTAGAACTGTCAGCTCTGAAGATCTCCTACATGTTTGGTAAATGTGATTCATTTGCTTTTTTTGCAGTAAGGGGAATAGAAATACAATGTTTCCATTAAAGCGATCAATTATGCATAAAGAAACAGGATATGAAGTTGTATGAAAATGCATTTGGAGAAATCAGATTTTCTTGAGCAAACTGCATCTGTTGCATATGTAAGATACCTTTCAAATAATTCTGGAAGTCTAGTGGTGCTAATAGCAGTTTTACATACTGATTTCCAGAAAAGAAGTATCACCTATCTGGAAGATCTGGCATCCTCTTGTTAGGATGCAGCTTTGTATTAACCCTAAGCTCTTTACTCATTTGGAATGCTCTTAGAGAAGAGTTAATTAGAACTTTAATTAATGTATAACTCTTAGAGTTATTTTGTATTCCTCTTAATAAAAATACTCTTACAGTGAACAAAAGCAAAGACACTCTCCTCTCCCCCTCCTCTGGGACAGTGTGCCTTCATGCTTCAGGACATTAATATTTCAATAGTCACACTGGATAAAACTGAACAATGGATGAAACCTAATTATTTTTCTTAGGCCTGTGATATGATCTTATCCAGGCTCATTTTCTTACATTCTATTCTAGTGAATTTCATTATAAGTCAGTCATTCCTATATGACAGATTTGCTTTAAAAATTGTACCGATAAAAATTAACCTAAAAAGGAAATACTTTGTCTCCTCTGTTTCTTCTGTGCTGTGTTATCCCTCACCCCAAAATTAGTGGGGGAAAAAAATGAAAAGAAAATCCTGTCTCAACTGATGCTGCTCCCTCCCTTCCTACCTGTTCTTACTTATTTTCCCTCTCATTTCTTTCCTCTGTTTTATACAGATATCCTCTTCTGATGCTGCTCAGCCTTTGGCATCCTCTCCTCTGCAAGCTGCTGCTGAGAAGAGCAAAGCAGAGGTATATTGTTTTCAGGTGTAACTGTTGTTGGGTTACTGCTTTGCACAAATGTTTTCTGTAGAGTAATTTCAATGAGCTAAGTAGAGAATATAAACTGCTGATAATACTTCAGTCACATAAATGCTTCTTTCCTTGCTTCCTGCACTAGATAAATGAAAAGGGCCAGTACAGTGGGATGAAGTACACACGTGATTGTTATCTCTTTGTTTCTATATGTTAAACTTCTGGTTCTGCTCTGGTTTAGTGTCGCAAAACTGAAACTGCCATTTCATTCTCAGATAATGGGCTTGAGTGGCATTGTCCTGTCTCCTCAGGAATAATTTTTGGTTTCCTTTTTTTGTTTACTTGCTTGTTTCAGAATTTAAATTATCAGTACTCTTCCAGCCATTTAGTTCAATCTCCTTGGAGATAAATATATAATTAATTTGGCAACACTCCTGTTAACTCACAGTAGTTTTAATATCCCTTCTACCTGGGATACATGTGTATGTGCTGACATTACATTTACTGTTTAGAAAAGTCTTCAAAAATCTGAATACAAATATGTAGTAGATGAGGCATCACTTGTATGAACTTTCAATAAATGTCACAATTTGCAACAATACTGAAATACTTATTTTTAGAATGTGAATGCTAGGCTCTTTTGGATACTTTAGTCTAAATGGGGATTGCATACAGTATATGAAATAACTTATGATCTTAACTCATGTTTTTTCTTCTAAATACATAAAATCTGGATAGATGCTATAAATTATTTTAGTTCAGCTATATTTAAATATTAGTTAAAATTCAAATGACAGCGTTATGGACTAGTCCGTGTGCCTTTGTGAATCTGATGTGTTTTTCAAGTTGTACTAGGAATAGCACCAGCCACTTAGAACAAAATTTGCCTTTTCTTTCTTACCCGCCTCTCTTGATGTATTCAAATTTGAAAGTTCCTCTGTGTAACCAGTATGCCATGCTGTTAGAAATGAATCCTGGGGGGAGGGGAAAACCCAACAAATAATTTTTGCTTAGAAATTTAGACCAGTATAAAGCCAATTTCATTTCATTGTCTTTGTTGTGCTTTTTGACTGCTTGTGCAAGTAATGAAACACTTGAGTTAAAGTTCCGACATGAATACAGCATCTGAGAAATGTTTTCAATTAGTTTGAATTCATTTTTATCTAATGGAGCTGAAGCAGAAAGCTTGCATATTGAAATTGTGAAGTGTGAAGATGAAGGACTTGGACATTTTCAAGTCCACAATGAAACTGAAATGAATGAAAATAAAAGTCACTGGGAATCAAGAGAGCTCCTGTAGGCTTTGTGCAGTGTGGAGGCAGAAGCACTGGTGAACAGTTTAAGTCTTTATATATTCACTATGAATGAGGAACTGAAGATCTCTTTATATTGTATATGACTGTGGACATTCAGTATTTGCAAATGCACTGTTATTGAGTACTAGCAAAATCTATTTTTTTTTCCAGAAGGAAAAAGAAAAAAAGAAAGAAGAGAAAAAGAGAGAGAGAGAATCTGAAAAACCATCAAAGCAATTAGCAGTTGAAAAGGTAAGAATAGTTCATTTTGTCCAGTTACTTAAAAAATAAACACAGTATTAGACATGTAAAAAGCTTTGTAATACATGTCTTTGTGTATATGTGTGTGTTTATATGAGTGTATATGAATAATAATCAGAATAATCCTCGTGAATGGTTTATTTGTGCTGTTGCTTGTGTCCAGAGGTAGGTTGACCATACAGTGAAGAATATGTTTTGTGATGTTTTGTGGAAGAGGGATCTCAGTTAAGCTTTGTTAAGATTGAAGCTCAGATTAAAAACCTAATTAAGGTTTTTAAGATGTACCATTGCAGTTCTTGCACAGAAAATTTTCAGTTTTAGTCAGTGCTCTACCTAATTCTGTCCTTCATAAATCGTCCATTTTAAACATGAGTGCATAATTTACAGAATTTCATTAATAACTCTTTGAAAATATTCAACTAGATCATGTCACAAAACATGACAGGTAAACGAGTTAAGGTACTTCTGTGCGCAACTGTAGTAAAGCATTCTGAGTAGCCTTGGCGATATAGGTACAATTAAAATTTCATGTACAGCTCTGTATAAAGTTAAGCAAAAATGGAATGGGTAATTTAAGTATTAAGTACAATAATTTCTTCTAAAACAGATGTCCTCTCTCAGATGATGTGAATCCATTAGTATGTTTTGATCTGCAGTGCAGTCCACAGAATGCATTGAAGTCTCCATCTGTCAGTTTATTCCCCAGTAGTGCTGTGTTACAATTATGAAAAATGTTATGTATTCATACATAATGATTGCTGACTTATTTCTAGTTCAGCTTGCAATAGAAGTTTTTTATTTTGCATAATAAAACAAGATACAAAAATATGTGCACACCTGGCAGAGAAAAAAGTCCCTACCCAATACCAGTATATTTTTTTGTGGAATTAGAAAATCAGATTAGCACTTCTGAATTAAGTTAGTGTAGAAGCAAACTTTGTTGTGACAATTTGTGTAGCTTCACTGAGCTAGTGGAAAAGGGTATCCTCACTCACCTTGTAGGAGGTTAAAGCGTATTTATGGATGACAAAAATATTAAAATCGTTCATTATTGGAATTTTACAAGGGCATCCAGCCAAATTAAATGCTTTATTCTAGTCCTTAGAAAAATATACTTTAGTTATGAAGGCTGAAAACATTGCTTTGGTTTAGAAATCTTAACTTTATAAAGCCAAAAGGTCTAGTTTTGGTCTGGGGAAGAGAGGGTTTCCCTTTGTGAGGGTGCCTGAACCTTGTCCCTTGCCTGGGAAAATTTGGTTAGGTGAAGAGAAAACATGATAGTGCATAGTTACAGCTGAGGCACTACCCTAATACTTGAAATAAAAACCAATTCAAACGCCACTGATTAGATTTACATTAATTTATCATTAGATTACCAGTTAATGATTAAGCAAGTAAAAACAAGTATTTTGATTTTAAATGCTTGTTCTACAGTATGTGGAATTTGGTAAATGTATCTGCATTAGATAATAGTGCTGTTGTAACAGATGCAAAATGTTTGAAATACTGCAGCATATTTTATTTCATTATTAATGTGTCAGCAGTGGTTGCTCAGGTGGTACTCATCTGCGGGTTATCTTTCTAATTTAAAAGATTCTTTAAGCTCGAGCTTTTTGAGGTATTTAAAGATGGCTCAAAATTATTTTTAGATGCAGCCTGTAAACTTGACATATTTTAAAATCACAGTCACGTTCTAGAATCCAAAGGAAAGAGAGCTCTATGAGATGCTTGTGCGTCCATTGGGAAGTACTGGTGAGATAAGAGAACCAAGAAGTTTTATTTCTGTATATGGAATTGCTGCTTTTGTGGTGTGATTCTGCTTCAGGGAGCTGATAAACATTAATAGTCTTCTTAGTTTGACTGATAATGATACACTTCCCATCCAGTTAGAGACTGTCTATGGGATACTTTAAATATTTCACGTTGATTTATTCAAGGCCAGGTTGAACGGAGCTTTGAGCAACCTGGTCTAGTGGAAGGTGTCCCTGCCCATGGCATTGGGGTGGAACTAGATAAACTTTAAGGTCCCTTCCAACCCAAATCATTCTGTGATTATAATCTGTGAATCAGTAGAGGAATGCTGGCATCTTGACCATAGTATCATGTTTTCAGCAACCACATCGTGCACCCCATTCACCTTGTGCCTGTTTTCCACTGAAAGGAAGCGCAGAAGGGAAGGAGGTGGGATGCAGTCTGGTCATTTGGGCTGAGGGGTCATGGCCAGTGTGTGTGAACTGGGGAGATTGTGTGTCCCAAGGATAAAGAACTGACTGAGGAAGTGTTTGCAAACAGTCAGTCTAAGGAATAACACTTCATTTTGCAAAGACCCTTTACAAAACCACACTTGACTGCGCTTTCTAGAACAGAGAGCTTGGACTGAGCTGTATGAATGACTCCTTGAATTTCAGAGCAACTAGGGCAATTCCGGTCTTTTTCAAGACATGCCTTTTTATGTCCATCTGCAGTACAAAGACAAAAAGGCATAATGAGTTATGACGTCTTGAGGCTTTGGAGTGTTCCCAAAGTAAAGGGGGAGAAATTTCATATGCCTAAATGTTGAGATTTTTGTTGGGTTCAACTTTTTATGTAGTCTAATTTTAAATGAAGAAAACAATGTGTGTCAGTGCTAGCAATCCAGGATTAAGCCAGAAGTGATTTAGAAAGCCGTCTGTGGAAAACTTAGCAAGTATTTCTGACTCAGAATCAGAAAGTTCAGCTGAGTCCATGGTACTGAAGGGTTTGGATGTATTTGGACACTTAGTATCTTTCTGTGCTGTTTGTGTTTTAGAGGTTTCACATCAGTTGAAAACTTCAATGAAAATACTGTGATGGTTTCACAGTAAAATATTGCATATTGAGGGTCATAGGTACCATGAAACCATATTAATTTATGGAAAGTAAGCCCTTTAAAGAGGAGATTGTGTTGTAATTGGGACAGTAAAGTTAAATGTTTGCAATGTAAAGAACAAACTTTGGTTTTTTTCTAAAACTACTTGTGCTTTGTAAACTAATATTGACATTCAAAGTTAAGTTTTTTTCATTCTGCTGAACGTATTGGGATGATGAATGTTTCTGAAGGATTGCAGCAGTTAAACTTGATTAACTGAAGTACTATTTGGCACTGTGAGTTTAGTTTTATTATACTGCATTTGAGTTTGAAATTGGCTCTTGTTTGTGTATAGAGTTGATTTAAATGACAGAGGTTATTTTTCAATGGTAGTATTCAAATGCTGTTTTTCTTCGCCAAACTGGAGACTAAATTGCCAGCTAAAACTCAGCAGTAACAGTGAGCTGCTACCTCACAGATGGCCTGCATTATGGAGGAGGCACTGACATAACTTTATTAGCACTTAAAAAGTACTAGAGAACCCCTCAAATAAAAGTGAAGACAAATCATATTAGCAGCTTTTTCCCTTAATGTAGGAAAAACAATATGTCAAACATTCATTTAACCAAATAAGAAGAAGTTAATGTATCTTATTAGGGCAGTGTTTTCATTCGTTTTCCCCCAAAGACAGCTAAAACTTCCACAAAAATCAGCCTTTTGAGTTGCAAGTGAGAGGAGGAACTATTAGTCCCCAGTTAGTTCTCTGATATGTTTTTACTTAACCAAAGTATTCCAAATAATCATCCTAATAATTTTGTTCAGGGAGAAATGAGTTGGAGCAAATAGTGCTCTAGTGTTCTTCACTTCTTTAGAATTCAGTAGCATTGTAAGAAATCATGGAAGAATGAAAGCCTGCAACATTTTTAATGTCCACCTAAACATCAGTGAGGTGTTTGGTTTTAAGTTGTAGGAATAAGTTGACTCACAAATATTGACCTGAATAATAATATAAATACAGAATTACATTATAAATATTCCAAATGCTTTCTTTATTTTTACAGTATATTGATGATATATTTGCTAAATCACTTGACTAAGTTTTTTAGACTTTTAAACATTATTTGCTTTTCTGAGTGATGTTATTTTTAAATGGTTCTTCTTCGTATTTTTATATAAAATGTAATATAGACTTAAATTATAATACATAAGCAATTATCACAGGAGCAGAAAAGCAGAAACATGCTTTGCCCTGTGGTGGAATACATAGTCTTAGTTATACTCTTAGTCTTTGTTTTCACAAATTCAGACTAAGTAGATAAGAGTTAGTCATGAGTATAGGATAAAACATAGGAAAACCTGTTTCCCTGCCTTCTACCCCCACAGAGGGTGAAGGGTTTTAAATCTTCTTGTTCTCTCAGTCTGCATTTCCTGGACCTGTCCCAGCCTGGTTTTACATTTCTAATCGTACCCTTTCAGTTTTATGGAAGAGATCAGATTAATTTGGTTTCTTTGGTTGCTTCTAATGCTAATCTGAAGAAAGGCAAATAAAACTGGAATCTTCCCGAAACTGTGCAATTCATTCCTTTTGCAGGTAACAAAGGACTCTTTATGTTTGAGGATTGCCTTGAAAAATAGTCTTAGTTAATGAAATTAATCTGTCATGTCTCTTATTACATATTGGGAGTTGTAGACAAAGAAATTAAGAAATCGATATTGCAGGTAGAAGCAATTGAAAGGAAACCCTTTTTTTGTCAGATGGGAAGAAGGGTATTTGTCTTTTTAGTATTATAAAAGGAGTCAGTCTACAGGAAGACTATCACGGGTTTTTTTTATCCTCAGCCCAGTGTGTGTTTTCTGTATCAGCTTGATAAGTCTGATCTCCAGAGAAACAGTATTTTAATGTAATTTATTTATTTCTTTATTTAAATTCTATAGAAATGGAATCTTAAAAACTGCAAGAGCAAGCTTGGGCTTGGGCTGCTTTGGTTAAAGTGGCCTTTGTTTTACTTGCCAAACTATTTTTAACAAAAAGGTATTGTTAACTGTGCTTAGTTTTAATTGATCCTCAGTTACATTTTGCTCCATGCAGGGTCAAAGCCTAGAATTGCCCTGGGTTTTCAGTTGGTAATACTTATTAACAAATGGCATTTTCAGGTTTCTTCTG